TTAACTTTTTATGTTGTTTAATTGCAATTGTCAGAACTACTACAGCCTGAAAATTCTTCATTACATTACGTATATTCCAATATTGGCCTAACAGTGAAATCAAATTGTGTTAGTTTTGCAGTATAGTAAGTCAGAACAAAACATACTTCAAAATTAATAATTGCATCAATGAATATGTTGCAGAGGTAAAGATACTAAAACAGGAGAATTACACCACTAAATGTTTTATTAGTGGGGCAGGCAATTTCCTTAATTTAACCTATAATGCACTCACAAAGCACTTAGCTCTCTTAATGAACATATTTCCCATACTCTAGAGAATTTTGAAAACCTCCCGATTCAATGATTAAAGTGCTCAGTGAGATCCAAGCAAACTGACTTCTTATTCCTTATTCCAAAGGTAAATGACAAACTAGAGCAAACAAGGAACGTGAGATGGGGAATGGTTAATTAGTACCCAATTGCAAGTGCTTATATGTACATCAAAACAATTAACTAGCTGTTTTTTTGTTTTGTTTTGTTTTCATAAATAATGCAAAATATTCCAAGAATCAAGCAAATTTATACAAAATACAATAAATGTGACTGGAAAAGACTGAGTTGTTGAATAGTCAATTAACAAATGAATAAATTATTTCAATATTTCAGGCAAATTCTCTTCTTTTAATCAGGTTATGCCTTAGTGACTGTTAAGAAGGAAAATTATCTCCATATTTCACACATATGTTTAAATTTCATATCAAAGAAACAAGACAACATTATTTTTGTTGGGAAACACCTGTGATTAAGTTTACCATATATCATTAAAAAATCATTTAGCTGTTGGAATCTGAATATAAACTGAAAATTAAAAGGTGATTTTGCTGTGTTTCTAGATTAACTATTAATAGTTCAAAGAATTTAGAACTTTTTCAGCTGTCGCCAGATACTTTTAACAAGTAACATATTTTAATTCAGCATAAAACAATTTTTTTGAATTATGCCCAAAAATAATAAACATGTCACATTCTTCTCAATTGCATGATAAAAGAAAAAATGCTGGCAACATTGTTGTACAAATCTGCATTACTAATGTGACTCTTACATGACAAGGATTTTTATGTAAAGAGGAAACAGATTGCTTTGCTTCAGCTTGCATGCCTATCTTGAATGGACAACTTTCCTTGGTAAAGCAAATTTGGTCAATAAATTTGTTTCTAGAATCTGCAAGCTGGAAGAGTTTAGAGGCAATGCACATATACTCTCTATTATGTTTTCTGTCTTGCTGTTCTCTTAGTTTATTATGTAAAACCATAATTGGATAGGAAAATAATCAGGTAGCCCTGGGTATGCCCATCCAATATAGCAACACCAAAATATCTTCCTCAATAATTTTCTTGATTCGTTTCAACCTCTTTGGAGCTGCAATATTAATAGTAAGGTAATAATATTTTTACCACCCCTACAGGATTAGAAGTTCCTTGAATTGAATTAATTGTCTTTTTATTTCCCTGCTTGTGATTCCTTGAAGATCCCTGTGACCCTTAGACCAGGTTGTTTTCCACACAGACTTGTTTATGCTGTTGAAAGAAGTGTATCTTCCAAACATGCTCAAAGATGTCACTAGTAGAACCTTCCTGTAAACACTTTGCTTACTCATTTTCAACATTTCTGGTTTCTTATCTAAAATGCTCTATTCTATTTAGATGGCAGATAATTAAATTTGATAACCAGTAAATATAATAACCAATAATTAAACTTAGTGTTAGTTTTAAACTTACTTTTATTAGGCCAAGACACATTAAAGTGCCACATTTAGAGTCAAAAATGTCCAACAATAGTCATTTTATGTTTTGACCTCATATTTCCTTCTTTACCATGACAGGGACAAAATAAAATCAGAGACTTGGTCAGGAATCAAACAAATAAGACTTCAAATTATAACCCAGATGCTTATGAGCTACGTGACTGTGGATGATTATTTAAACTTTGTTCCTCCTCAGTTTTTTCATCTGAAAATTAGGGGTATTAACAGTCTACACTGCATTGAATCCTAGTAAATACTAAAGGAACTAATGCACACACAGTGTTGTTACAGAGTGACTGCTCAGAAAATGTTAGACTGATTACTAACATTGGATTTAATTAATATTTTGATTGTCCTTCCCACCCTTTATTTTTCCTCTTGAATTTCCTGATGAGTGCTCCTGGGTTACCTGAACTCCTCTTGCATTCCTAGCCCATAGCATTTTCACATAATATCTCATTTGTACAACGGACATTATGAGGTTTATGGGGTAAGAATTATTATTCCCCTTTTCCAAATGAGGAAACCGAATTATGTTGCCTTTTCAAAGACCACACAGAGAGTAAAAGGCAAGGCCAGATTAGAATTCTTTTTTTTTTTTTAACCGTGCTGGCTTTTATAGGGTCATTTTAAATGGACATTCCTGGGCAGCAAATATTCTAACATTGATGACATTGGATTGACGTGATCATTTTGAAGAGGTCTCCTTCTCATTTGTTATAAACTTCTAGAACAGTCAGCATTTATGTAGCAATTAATATATACCCATACTATATATTAGATGTATAGACTGTGTGCTTCTACTATATACATAACAACTCCATAAGACTGGCACTTTTATTATCCCTCCTTCTCAGACAAGAAAACTGAGCAGCAGTAAGCCATGAAGCTAAGATGTGAAAGGGGGTCGTTTGCCTCCAGGGCATCTGCTCTTAACCAGTATGTGGTATTACGTCTTAGATAGTGAATTATACCGCAAACTTGACTGCCTTCAAAATTTTCATTGCTCCTCAAGTAGTAAGTTTCAACATGTCACCTTATTTCGAACAAAACAAAACCCCCAAACCAAAAACTTTGCCCTGTTGAAATTTTATATGCTGACTAGAAATGATTTTCTAGATGTGTACTCTCACAGGCAAGACTGCTCCATAATTTGCAGAGCCCAGTGCAAAATGAAAATACAGGGCCCCTTGTTAAAAGGTTATGAAAAATTTCAGTTGGAATGTGACAGTAGAGCATTAAATCAAGTGTGTGGTCCTTTACAGTGTCAGGTCCTGTGTGGCTAAAAGGTAGCACATTCATTACAGGAGCCCTGCTCACAGAGCCTATAACCCTGACTCTGGCCTTAACTCTCTTCAGTTACCTCCTGTAGACCTGCATAAAGACTCATAATATGAATAGAATAGAAGTACTGGAGACCTTTTATTAGGTCCATCCCAGAGTCACTCTAGCTTCTCCATTAAAAGCATCCTGAGGCAATGGGATCTGCAGTGAAGTAAGACATGGGAGGGAAGTAAGGCGACCAGGCCACAAGTCGGATCACTTGCATTATGAGAAAGGAGAAGTAGAGACCACTTTTCATCTTAGAAGTCCAGAGTCAGGATGTGGAGAGATGAAAGAGGAAGTTCTGGGGAACTTATACCACCCCACAAAGGGAATAGCCCTTGGCTTTCATCAGAATGGTGCAGGAACTTATGAAATACATTCATATGCCTTGGTTGCCTGGAGGCAAGCCATATTAACTTATGTTTAAATTAATAAGCCTGGCACTGGTCATCCAAATTCTTTGCTTTTTGCCCTTTCAAAATTACAGACAAAAATGATGTTTTTAGTCTTTTTTTCCTTTTAAAGGTAGAAAATAGCTGCATTTCTGAAAAATGGTTTTCATTAATTCTCGAACTTTGATTCAATCTGTGGTGTACATTAAAGATATTGTCATTCATTTTTGTAGGCAATCAAGAATCAGAGCAGGTGGTTTTAGAATCAAAATATATAATATATAGGTTTAGACTCAGGTCTCTCTTCTTACAGATTCTGTGATCTGTAATTAACCTCTCTGAGCCTCTGTGTTTTCATCCATAAAATGGAAAATTTTAAAAAATAGCAACCTTGGAGAGTTTTTGTAAGCATTCAGTACACAAAGGTGCCTAGTGCAATACCTAGAATATCATAAGAACCCAGCAATTGACGAGACATTGTTTGACATAAATACACATGCATTTCACATATAAATACATTTATATTTCATGCATGTGTATACTCTTAAGTATGTAATACATATGTGCATATATATAAAATATATTTTTTCAAGTTTCTAAGTTTTGGACTCTCATATATTGGAGAAGGGGAAATGTTTGGCTAGAAGAACGGGCTGTAATACAGAGTTTCTCTTGGAGCTTCTGCCTGTCACTGCTAACTCAACATTCAACTTTATGGCATTCAAATGAAATGACTACTGCCTGCACAACAAGGGACTTTCTCAGCATAAACCCAATGCTTCAAACCAAGCTGACCGAGTGTTTACTTGAATATGAATCTGATACAATCCTCAGAAAAAGCCAGGTGTGCTTCCTGTCTGAAATCGTGGTGATGTGCTCTCAGGTGCTCTGCCAGGCATTGATTGGGATGTAATGAATTGCCATGTACTGAGGTTATCTTGCTTAGACACCACCTCTCTCCCTAATTCCTAGCCATGTGATGTGTCTTTTTTATGTGTCTCTTGATTTTAATCACAGAAAATAAAATGGGAACTACCTGAAGCTCTAGTGTCCCTTTTGCTGGAACACGGACAGAGCATATACCCAGATTTGCTTTCAGAATTTGTTTTACAGCTCCCTCAAAATTGTTGATAACAGCTGCTTAGTTATATGGCCAATGTAGAATTCACTACAATTGTCAAATTTGAAAAATAAGGCAAAAGCAGAAAAAAGCAGAAGCAATTGTATTTCCAATATAAACTATGCTAACTTTAAATATGCAAATCAACATGAAAATAATGAATGCTTCTCTGTTGTTTTGACAGTGAATGATTTCAACAGTAGTCTTTACAAACTCTATTTGTGAAATGTGTAATTTGTTTGTGTCTTGACTTCACGGGAAGTTCCCCTTGAACTGTACTTGGAAGTTTGACTGAATAAATTATTAATCCTCTTTGCATGATATGCAAATTAGACTTCACTACATCCAGGGGCACAGCATTGGGTTAGAAGCTGTATCAAGTTGCTGGCAAATAATTTCTGTCAAGGGATCAGGGCCTTCCAACGGAATGGTAAGTTATAATGCAACTCATGTCACCCAGGTATACAAAGTAATGCCGGGCTTCCCATTAGGGGTTTCTTTTAAAAGTGGCCTATGAGCAGTTAAGGTTTTAAGTAATGGGCAAATGAACTGTCTAAACTGTCATTCATAACATGTAGAACAACAAAAGAAACTGAAGGGAAGTCATAATTTTTTCTCCTACATTTATTTTTTATTAAATGTAATGTCTTTTGTAATTGCCAAATACTAAATTTATTTTACTTAAAGAGGTTTATCACATTTGCTAAATGTGACAACATATTGGTAACATATTTCAACAAAAAGAGTAATCAGGTTTATTTAAATGTAACTACTTACAGAAAAAAATTTAAATGTTTAGAAAAAAATATGTGAGAGGGAATCTCAAGGCATTCTAAAAATTAAATTTAGCATTTATGTTTGTAAAAATTACCGTTATGTTTGTAAAAATTACAATTGTTCAAGAGTATAATTCACTAAGGAAAAATGAGAAATTGCAAAAACATTGCTAATACCTTCCAGAACTTTTTATAATTGGTGAGTTATTTTTTTAATTCATAAACATATAATTTGATACCTTACTATCACTTTTTAATACCTTGACTTATAATGTAAATTCAGGAAATATATTAAAAACGAAGTTTTCAATATTAAATGATTGTACTTTTCTGTATGAATATATATTTGTTCATTCAAATTGTTTATTAATGAAAATAGCAATTAGCTAAAAAAAATACTAATATTGCCATGTAAATTTGCCTTAAAGAATCAGTCAAGGATTAAAATGCACAAATGATCTTTGTTTAATTGTGATAATTATAAGAAAAAACAATTTAAAAGCTAATAAGCTATCAAACGTATTTATAAATTTAAGCTTCAAAACTATACATTTTTAAAGGGCTGAATAGAACAACAGTGAAAGAAACATTATTCCAAATTAAAAATGCATACTACTGATCTGCTTATGTGAGTAAATTGAATATTGCTTGTAATTTAATAATTCAACCAGTTTAGATATATGTTTGGATATATAATTAAATATTTCACTTTAATTACGATAGCTAAAAAAACAGTTAAAAATAACTCATCCAACACTGCTATAACCTATTTCTGTTTCCTAGAAATTAAAAATACAACCACTAGAAAATGGAAGAGAGAGTATTAATTTTTCATGAGGAATTTCCCTTCAATTGAGGAATTCCCTTAAAGGATCAGCTTATCTCATCAATTTGTAGAATTGTAACGGCCACACTAAAAACCACACTCAACTGCAAACATCATCTAATTTGGACTCTAATACCCAGAAAATTATGGGTCTTGGTGAGGTTGAAATTGGCCGGCAAATATGACGGCCTGACATTTATAAACCACAATTTATTAATATTAAGGACTTAAGACGATTATTTTAAGAATAAAATAAACTTATCAAAAAGCAGATTATAAAATATGATAAAGAGCATGATCTCATTATTTGTAAAAAATAAATTCAAATAAATATTAAACTATAAGAGTATATCCAGGTATTAGGAGTAGTTGGTTTACAGACAACTTTCATTTCTTCTTTTTGCCTACTTGTATCTTCTTAGTGAGTGTTACAGAATAACATACATTTTTTTTTAAAAAAAAGGGTTAAAGCAACCTGAGAAGCAGGACAAAGGCGACTAGCCATTCATTTTCCTTATTCCAGTTCTGGTATTCTCTACCCCTATTACCTCCCTGAATCTCCAGTCCCAGTGGACAGCTCAAAGCAGAAGACTTTTGCATGGCTTCAGCATGGCCCCTGACTTGCCCGAGTGGTAGTTATTGGGAACCTGGCAGATGGAGTTACACATGTCTTCATGGCTCTCTTTTCCTGCCATGGCAGTCAAATCTTCCTGCTGCACAGAAGCTACTGACGTAAGTCAGAGCACTTAAGAACTGCATCATCAGAAAAATAAGAGTAAGGACTAGAAAAAGAGGAAATTCAAAATGAAAGAAATGAGTCTTAAGGAAGCTTTCTATTGTCTTACTATTCCACTGAGTTTGTGCACTTGCGTTTTGAGCAATCCCAAAATAATGATCTGAGCTCTGAGGAGCTCCAGCATTTAAAGCTTGGGCAAATAGCCTACAAAGAGAGAAAGGAGGACTGTAAGGAGATTGCCATATCATAGAAGGCAAGGAAGAGAGTGCTTCCAGAAGTCTTAGAACTGAAAGCAGTGGGGGAGAGAGATAAAAATAATAGTGAAAAATTACCATTGATCTATAAAAAAAGCCTATTTAAAAAAAAGACCATTAAACTTTTTGCTATATTTCTAGAAATCTCAATATACCCAACACATGGTGATTTGGGGAAACAAATAGAAAATCCAAATAAACTGAAAGGAAAAAGGACACATTAAATATTATTATCTGGTGTCTCATCTCTAGTGATAAAACTCATACCTTGGTACATATCCTAGACTTTCTGATATTTATTAATTTCAGATATAAATTCCTAATTTTTAAATTAACCTTAATTAAAAAAATTGATCCTGAAGATATATATGTAATTTTACCTTTGACAAATGTGTGTCTAAACAAAGCTACCTAACTACTACAATTGCCCATTTTGAATCTTAGTCATATTATGTACAGTGTCAGATTTACAGTGAGATAGAGCAACGGGTTTATCTGACCTTAGAGGAAATATTTATAAGACTGTTTTCCAGTCAAATGTTTATCTCCATCTCCATGCAACAAGCGTTTACAGACCATCTCCTATCTGGCAGTCATTATGCCAGATGTAGAAGATAAACATGAATAAGATAAAGTTGCAAGAAATTCAAAGAAACTTAGTTTACGAGGAGAACATAAAATATACATAAAATGGTGGGTCAGAGAGTCTGTCTTGGGAAACCCACACTTAAACTGAAGTCTGAAAGGAGTGCAGACATAAGGGCAGTGTACGTGATGGGGTAAGGGTCACAGGGGGAAAAAGTCAGTGAGAAAGGATTCAGTGAACTGAGCATTGGGAAAGTTCTCTGTGCATTCAACTAATAGGAAGAAGAGCAAGGAGGAGAGTCATGCTAGGTGAGGCTGAAGTGGCCTACAGGAGCCAAATCCTGCATGCCTTAAGTACTCATTAAGGATTCGGACTTCATTACCTAGACAGTGGAAGGTCATTTAAGTGTTTTGGCTGAGGAGAGTTAATATGATCCGGATTTTGGTTGTAGTTTTCAAGATTGTCTGGCTTTCAGGTTGAAGGGAGATTGAAAGGGAGCCTGAGAAGATGTAAGGAGACCATAGAAGATAAAATACAGTCTAAGATAAAGATCATGGTGGCCTGGACTAGAATGGTCATGAAGGGGATGGACTTGAGAAATAGCCAGACACCACAGGCAAACAAGATTTGGTAGCTTATTTGTTATTGGCGATAAGCTACAGCTGACTTCAAGGATGTTGCTTAGATATACTATAAGCTTTCAGCAAATTGTGGCCACTCTCATTATCATTACTAAGATTTTAAGGCTCATATTTTAAATTTTAAAAAATCATGTTTTAAAACTGGAATTATATTCAAATTTAGTAAAATAACCATAATTCTTTGACAATATGGAAATAAAATAGAATCTATTAAAATAGCAAGACTGGAGTGATAAGAATCCCTGTGTCCTCTCCCAGGTTGTGTTCAATTAAATCTAACTCAGCAGACTTGGTTGAACACCTGGAGACAGAAGAAAGAATTAGATGCTCCACTTATTTCATTGCACTGTTTCTTGGCCTCTTTGCTATTTGTCAAGTCCTCTATGTGTGTTTCCACCTCCAGGCCTTTGCACGTGCTTTCTTTTATGTTTGAGACCTTTTTTACCATTATGTGACATGCATTTATTTGTTTCCTGGTTCTAGCCAAGAAAGTATAAATTGTTTGAGATTGGGAACTTTGACTTGGTGCTGTTATCCCCAGTGCATAGCATATAGTTCAAAGGTATTCAATAAATATTTGTTAAAGTAATATATTAGTGACATACCTGTATATGAATGTGTATGTATATGCACTCCTTCCTAATATAATCAACTTTTTATAGTTCAAGCTTTAAGAGTTTAAAAAAACAAGAGTTTTTTTTAATTATTATTATTATGTTCTGTGCAGTTTTGTCTTTAGTCATAGTCTAGTGTTTTAACCTTCTCTTTTTCTTCTGTAGGCGTGGAACACAACTTGCCCAAATTGGCTGGCAGCAGAGGCTGCCCTGGAAAAGTACTACCTTTCCATTTTTTATGGGATCGAGTTTGTTGTGGGAGTCCTTGGGAATAGCGCTGTTGTTTTTGGCTACCTCTTCTGTCTGAAGAACTGGAATAGCAGTAACGTTTATCTCTTTAACCTCTCTATCTCAGACTTGGCTTTTTTGTGCACACTTCCCATGCTGATTAGAAGTTATTCTCATGGAAAGTGGATATATGGGGACATGCTCTGTATAAGCAACCGATATGTGCTTCATGCCAATCTCTACACCAGCATTCTTTTTCTCACTTTTATCAGCATTGATCGATACCTGCTCATGAAGTATCCTTTCCGGGAACACTTTCTACAAAAGAAGGAGTTCGCTGTTTTAATCTCTTTGGCTATTTGGGTTTTAGTAACCTTAGAGCTACTGCCCATACTTTCTCTTATAAATCCTAATTTTGCTGTCAATGGCACCAACTGTATTGATTATGCAAGTTCTGGGAACGCCCAAAGCAGCCTCATTTATAGCATATGCCTAACCTTCTTGGGATTCCTCATTCCCCTTGTGGTGATGTGCTTCTTTTATTTCAAGATTGCTCTTTTCCTAAAGCAGAGGAGCAGGCAGCTTCGTACTGCTTTGCCCCTTGAAAAGCCTCTCACCTTAGTCATCATGGCCGTTGTGATCTTCTCTGTGCTTTTTACTCCCTACCACATCATGCGGAACATGAGGATCGCTTCACGCCTGGAGAAGTGGAAGGAATACCAATGCACTCAGGCAGCCATCAACTTCTTCTACACTTTGACTAGGCCTTTGGCCTTTCTGAACAGTGCCATCAACCCTGTCTTCTATTTCCTTTTGGGAGATCACTTCAGGGAGATGTTGATGAGTAAACTGAGGCACCAATTCAAATCCCTTACATCCATTAGAAGATGAGGTCCTGGACTGATGTTTCCATGCAGGGAAAAGTGAGATGCTTGTGTAACAGATTATTTTATATGTGCAGCTGTAGGCCAATTACAGTTTGATTCAACTCACAGATGTAAATCAGAAAGGGATAGACCTGACACTGTTTTAAAAACACGCTGCATCTGGAGTATGTGAAAAGAAGAAAATGGGAAGTATTTATTGGTTTCTTCACCTAAGAACTTCAAGGAGTTAGACTGCATTGTCTAATGTTTGATCATGGAAGTCCAAAACCGTGGGTGTTACAAGACTTTCTCAATCAGTGTAAAAGGAATAGCAGATAGATAAAGCATCAAATAGTCTGTGTATTTAATCACTGGTCAGATTGTAAAAAAAAAAAATTGTGTTGGCAACATTCTCTATGTTATTCTTATTTGTTTGAGCTTATAAATTAATGTGAAAACTAAGTAACAGATTAGGCATACACTATTAAGGACTGTTGTTAGAAATTGTGCTCTTGAACAAAATTTAAAGTAAACAGTAGCAACAAGGAAGAAAGCAACTTGTTGAGTTCAATGATGCCTATATGACATTTCTTTATATTGATCATGAATTGGGGTCAAGTTTTAACTATAAGTCCTATTTTTTGTATGGTTTTTAGAGCAATTAATCATATTAAATGGAACCTAAGGAGATGGTTCAACAAAGGGAGAGAGAAGTTTGAGCTTGTCTCTCAGGGAATTTTGGTGTAAATGATTGCGAGAAGAGAGACCATGGAGAATTGCAAAAATCTCAGAGTTATAGAACACAAAGTGCCTATCAGAAAACCCAAAGCAAAACAAAACAAAACAAAACAAAGGTAAATGCTTTTGGACAACTTTATCTCAAAGACAGTGACTTATATCTGGTATGAGCTTTGTTTTCACAGAATATTACATAAGGCCATTGAAGGAAGTTTTCTAAACAAATGTACTTTATGAAATTGTAGAATATAGGGAATACTTATGTGCATATTAATATAGATTAACCAGATGCCACCATTCCACGCCACAAAACAAATATAGGAAAAAAATAAATGGATGCTACATTAGCTTTTTATTTTTATTTATTTATTTTTTTAAAGATTTTATTTATTTATTTGAGACAGAGAGAATGAGAAACAGAGCATGAGAGGGAGGAGGGTCAGAGGGAGAAGCAGACTCCCCGCCGAGCAGGGAGCCCGATGTGGGACTCGAT